CCCCAAAACCCCAAAACCCCAAAACCCCTCTTCTCTCAAGAATTATTGAGATATTAGAGATTGGTATCCAGTGTCATCCGTGAATGCTCCAAGAAAGGGTTGGGCTTCATGAGTTCATGATATGGCTTTGTTATTTCATAAAACTCCTGTCTCTTTTCTTCAACCATCTCTTCTAATTCTCTAACTTCAGGAATCACTCCATGGATATCAGTGACTCCAACAATGCTAGTACTGAAACCTTTTCTAAGAGACATCATCCCTAGCTGATATTTCGTGAATGCAAACACTACAGGGACTTTTTGAGCTCTTCATAGGCTAATAATTTTCTGTACATATTCATCAAATCCTCCTTTTTCATCAACTTTCATGATGTTTCTGGAGATTATTACCATTTTGATTTCTTCAACTTCAGCTAATTTAAGGATTTCATGAAGGCCAAATCTGTACCTCTTCTTTGCTTCAACTTTTCTTCCCGTTCTAGTCTTCTTACTCGGTCCTTTAAGTCTGTGGATATAGAAATCTTTGAGCTTTAAGATGATAAATTTCACTTTGTCGTTGATCTCTTTTCCTATACACAGTTTAAACCAAGGTTTACAGACTAAATGATCGACATAGTCACGAACCACCATATCCTGCTTGCTGGGTTCGAGGCAAGGGTCTACTTGTAGTCCTTTAGTGATACATTCAGTGACTTTCTCTAATGGATCTGTTGGTATCTTAGGCCTGTAAATTTATGAAATAATGTATTTACTCAGATGGTTTAGCATCATCTACCTCTTGTTCAGACTCCTCTCCTTCAGCTTCTTCTTCTTTCTCTTCCTCCTTCTGTTGGTCTAATACTTTTTGCTTGGCCTTTTTCATCGCTGTAGGCTTTTTCTTTTTCCGACGATCTACGAAATAATTCAGCATTTCATTTTTCTTTTGCTTGATTTGCGCTTCAGACATTCCAGCTTTAGTGTTTACGTTCTTGTTAATCATTCGGTTGACCTATATTAAATACAAATTGATTTATACCTCTTGGGCCATATTTTTGCCTGGAACATACTTATGATTCTTCTCCTTAGGAGCTTTAATAATTCCTTTTTTGTTATTATCCATCAGATGCCCGATAATGTCCCCCATGGTAGTGTTGTTCTTAATGAATTCCATCTGTTTCTTGGTGATACGAGTTCGGAGTCTTTTCGGGAGCTCTTTAAAGGCAACATCAATGTCTTCACTAACTTCGATGTTCTTAATCTTCCTTTTCTGCTTAAAATCTTTATAAATCTCCTCTCTCGTCCGCTTTTTAGGAGGCTCAGAAACTTGTTTCTTTAAGTCATGGGTCGATCTCGAAAGCTTTTGCTGGGATTTGTTCAGAGGTCTTGATGGTTTAGAGAGTCTCTTTGCACTTTTGACTCTTACTTTCTTGTCTTTCCTAGAAATTCTACTCTGATTTGCTAGCTTAGTTTTCTTTGCTCCTCTGCTATGGCTCCGCGCAGTATCCTTAAATTGGTTCAGTGAATTAATAAGCTCATCTTTGTGCCACTCTAAAGATGAGTTATGCAAAAGTAAATATTAAACTTAAGATATTTAATGTGTAGAAATGCTAATTTTATAGAATGAAGCCACAAAGTTATTGCTTAAAGTTCCATTTACCATTTTTATTCTCTTCCCTTTTCTGTCTCTCTGCTTTACATTTATGCCTTCTTGGTCTTCTTTTCTTCTTCATTGGCTCAGCTACGGGGGCCTGGCTAGAGGTAGACTCCTGAGCTTTGGGTACGAAGGATTTAGAGTGAATATTCAAGTCAAAAGTCGACTTAAATTTGACCGTCTTAGAATCTGAATCAGACATTTTTAGAAATAATTATTTTACACCGGCTTATTTGGGGTTTTGGGGTTTTGGGGTTTTGGGGTTTTGGGG